GTCTGTGTTCTTGCTTATACATTATAAGGCCAACATATCTATCCATCCAAATTCTGAAATAAATTAAAAATAAAAAAGCTCATAGGAGATTCCCCCTAAGTTAGTCACCATGGTCTCTAAAATAGGTTTTCAGTTCTATCACAGTAAGGCAGCAATTTCTACCAAGCACCATTTATGGTGACAGGGTGATGTCTGCAAAAAAAATGACAGAGGAGCCCTAATGGAGCTTCAAGACAAGCCGAGGCCGCCAATAAACATGTGCTGAGTGTTGCTGTGCAGAGCGTTATCTCAGGGCATTCTGCCCAACTGAGCTGGAGGAGGCCTCCGCTCTCCCTCGAGTGGAGGGAGAGAGAAAACAAAGCAAAAAAAAAAATGAGGCCAGGTCGGGAATTAAAACAGGGCAATGTGATCTAGGATGAGGACTTTAGATGAAGGAGGTGATGTTTAAACTTAGAGCTGAATGACAAAAACAAATCAGCCATGCAAAGACGAGGAGACAAAGCCTTAAGACACACAAGCGCTGTGTGTTCAAGGAAGGGCAAAAGGGCCAGTGTGGTGGGGCTGGGCACAGTGGGCAAGCACCAGAGGGACGGAAATGAGGTCCCAGCAGTACGCGGGCTCTGCTGGCCAGGCTGTGGATGGAATTCCGGTTTCTAGAGCAACACAAGGCCACTGGAGGGTTCAGCAAAGGAGAAACAGATTTACCGGGTAACACTGGCTGCCGCGTGAAGAATGGATCACAGGGAGCCTATAGTCTCAGGTGTGAAACCAAGGAGGTCGCCACAGTCTAGGCACAAGATAAAGGGACTCAGGAGATGGGGTCAACAAAATGACTGATGGCTGGCTCCAAAGGGTGAGAGCAAGAGGAATCAAGGGTGACGAGGCTTTTGGCTTAAGCAACTGGGTACACTGGGCCGTCTAGCAAGATGGGGGCTAGGGAACAGAAAGGGCAGAGTTGGAGGGAGAGGCTAAAAGTCCAGTTAGAGTTTGGACAGGCTAGTATAGATGCCATGCTCACTTTCACAAAGGAACAGATCAGGGCTGGAGATGGAAATTAGTGTCATCAGCATCAAGGCCTTGAGACTGGACAAGATCACCAAGGGAGAGCATCTGGGCAGAGAGAAGAGAACCCAGGACTAAGCTCAGAGACTTGAGAAGCCAGCGAGGACCAGCCAGGGGCGGGAGGAGGAGAGAAGAACAGTATGAACACACCATTAAACCCCTGCACTAAGACACTTGATCCAACTTTAACAAGGCTTCTGGAAGCCTAAGGCCACATCCCTGGGATGCCCCAGCCCCCTTTTGAGTTCCCATCTGGGAACACTCAGGGCTGTCAGAAGAATGTACTGTTCCTTCTGGCCAGCACCTGACACAGGACCCTGAACTCCACTTCTTAGAACATTTACTAAAAAGGGCTCCCAGCTGTGAATGCCTGCTCTGTCCCTTTGAGATGTCTGTGTATCGCCTACAACCTAGCAGTGTCTTTCTCAAGGACCCGAGAGCCATCAGGAAGGGTAGGCCCCCATCTGCCAGTCGCCGTGGGAGGGCAGGATCCTAATTTCCATAAACAGCTGGCTTCACTGCATGGACGTTGACCCCCCTTTGTCGTTTTTCACTTGAGGCCCCACTCACTCCCCTCTTGACCCCCTCATTCTCCCTGTAAAACACCCAGTGCCCTCTGCGCACATCAGAATGGAGCTAGGCTCTCCCCATACTGCCAGTAATTACTGAATGAAATCTGTTTTCACGGCTTTAATGAATGCCTGTCTTTGTTTATCTTTGACACTGGTATCCTCATAAAAAGAACACAGACACAGACACGCAGGGAGGAGGCCACATGACCACAGAGGGACAGACCGGACAGATGCAGCTGCAAGCCAGCGAGGATTGCCGGCAGCCCCCAGAACCCACCCTGCCAACACCTTGATCTTGGACTTCGGGCATTCAGAACCAGAAGATGGTAAATTTCTGTTGTTTAAGCCCCCTGGTTTGCGGTATTTTGTTACAGCAGCCACAGGAAACACTGGCCCCATGGAAGCCTTGAGTCAACCCCTTGTGCCGTTCTTTGATGAGCAATTGTATTAACAGTGAGCTCTTCTCAGCCACCGACAGACAAAACCTCAGAGCCGTATTAACATCAGAAAACCTTTGTAGGAAGATATATTTTCTATGTATAAAAGTAATGCATGCAAATTATAGGCATTTAGAAAATACATAAATACATAAGGAAAACTTTTAATTACCAGTAACCCAGCCACCCACATCCATCCCCTCAGCAGCTTTTACCTCTTTATACATAAGTTTGTCTCCCGGCCTATTCAAGCCAACATACTACAGAGCGTGTTCCATGTGACAAGATGCTCAAAATGCTGGCTGTACAGCGCCACATCATCAGATGCATCGCCTCTTATTTCACGATGGCTGTAGGGGCTACATATGTTGCTGCTGCAGTGCCAGAGTCACCATGAGTACCCCACTAACTCTTATGGTTAAAAGGGCTGAGGACACTTCCTAAGTGCTTGTTCCATCCCACCAAACAGCCCCCTCAGAAGGGGCAACATCACAAGGCCTGTGCCCTGCCCATTGCCAGCAGGGCGCCATACGTAGGGCTTCATTTGTTGCTATTTTGACATCAATTTTTTCTTACTGTTGGAGTTTGTGTTTTAATTACTAGTGAGGGTGAAATGTTTTCTTATTGTGCCTACTGGTCGCCTGCATTTCTCTTGTGCATTGAGCGGCAGGAGGGGGACGTGGATGAACAGGGATGACACAGGTTCCAGGTGGGATGTCCTTCTAGCTGTGTGGATCAAGGGGCCATAGCTAATAAGGCAGGCAGACTGGTTCCCTCCTGGGAGGAATCTGGCCAGTTGTTCTGGAAGCCCAATCTAAGTAAAGCCAGAAAGGAAGAAAGCAGAATGCCCTACTTCTGGGCAAATGGCACGGTTTCAAATCCTTGGTGTGTAATGTACGATCAACCCTACACCGTGCTAATGAGGGAGGGTAAGGCAGGCAGCAAGGGCACCCAGCCTCTGGGAAGGGCAGTGAGTCTCAACTGGTCCAGGGGGCCTAAGCACGAGTGTTCCTCCAGCTCCCAGATGCTACTGCTGTGCAGGCCACGTGGCAAAGTTCCTCAGGAGAACAACTGCTTCTCTCGCCGCTCCTGTGTCTCATCTTTCTTTCAAAGCTCCTTTCAGAAGACGGTGCTGGTCAAAGAAGGGCTCCCACATGCCTCAGTTCATCCTCTTGAGAAGTGTGAAGCCCACTCCTACGGTCAGTGGCCACTACCCAGGATGCAGGTGATCCAACAGCAGCCTACCCAGCTCTCCCACCCATGTCTGCTGGCCCCGGCAGGAGTGTCCACCTGGAGACAAGATGTCCCCGTGCCTGCAAGAGCCTACCCCACACCAAACTCTATAGCCCAGCAGCCACCATTACCCTGGGGACTGAGTGGGCTCTGGGTTGAATGGTGGCCCCGAAAAGACAGGTACAAATCTTAACCCCCAAAGCTTGTGAATGAGACCTTATCTGGGACAAGGATCTTTCCAGCTGTAAGGAAGGTAAGGATCTGGAGGTGAGGAGCTCATCCTGGACTACTGGGTGGGCCCCAACCCAATGACAGGTGCCCTTGTAAGAGACAGAAGAGAAGACACAGGCAGACGAAGAGGAAGAGGTCATGTGACCACAGAGGCAGAGATTGGAGTGATGGGTCTACAAGCCAGGGAACATCAAGGATTACCAGCAACCACTAGAAGCTAGTAGACAGGCCTGGATCTGATTCTCTCTCAGAGCCTGCAGAAGAAACCAACCTTGCTAACAACTTGATTTCAGACTACTGGCTTCCAAAACTGTGGAAGAATGAGTTTCTGTTGTTTTTAGCCACCAAGTTTGTGGTGTTTTGTTACAGCAGCTGTAGGACACCCCTACACTCTCCTTCCAAAAGAATTAAAAGTGTTCTTGTAGAAAAATTGCAGGATTAGGAGGATTTAAATGCAGCATCCATGAGCAGAGAACCTGCCCATGCCTTTAACATTTTCCCAAAGTATAATCTGATACACACCTGGCTTTAGGAAATGGAAAAGTCACTCCCCACTCCCTGCAGATGCTGAGAAAGCCCCCAACCCAGGCTTATTTTTAGAAGGTCTTATATTCTAATTCTTAGTCAGCCCTCTCATAGTCAAATAGCAGGAAGGCCTGTGAAAAAGCCCAGAGAGAGAATCACAACATCCCATTCCCAACCAGGGGAGCTTGGAGGAGAGTGGAAAGGAGGACCGAGGCAGGGAGGAGTCAGTGACGTGCACGCACTGCATCCTCTCTCAACTTTCCACGTCCTTCCCTTCCTACAATTGCAGGGTTAATGCCCATGGCTTTCACATCCTAGGAAATGTCCAGAACCTTGCAAAACAAGTGAAGAGTCCTCTGTCGTTTGTAAGGTACCATATTTTGCAAAGTGGCTTACAGGAAAAAAAAATGGATAAATGTGACTACATAAAGATAAAAATTTCAAGGCCGCAAAACAGTAGCAAAGTCAAAGTGGGAAAAGTCTATCACAGGCAAAAGCTAATCCTGCTAATGAACAAAGAGCTCCTAAACAGTGAGGAACAAAAGATAACAACCCAGGAGAGAAATGGGTAAGATACAAACAGCCCGTTCACAGCAGAATTGAAAAGGGCCCTTAACCTCTGAAAAGATGCTTAAGCTCATTTTTTTTTTTTTTTTTTTGAGACAGAGTCTCACTGTGTTGCCCGGGCTAGAGTGCCGTGGCATCAGCCTAGCTCACAGCAACCTCAAACTCCTGGGCTCAAGCGATCCTCCTGCCTCAGTCTCCCGAGTAGCTGAGACTACAGGCATGCACTACCATGCCCGGCTAATTTTTTACATATATATTTTTAGTTGTCCAGCTAATTTCTATTTTTTCAGTAAAGACAGGGTCTCACTCTTGCTCAGGCTGGTCTATAACTCCTGAGCTCAAACGATCCACCCGCCTCGGCCTCCCAGAGTGCTAGGATTACAGGTGTGAGCCACCGCGCCCAGCCTAAGCTCGCTCTTAATAGCAGAACTGCATACCTTGTGGATGGTAAAAATCCAAGGCTTGCCCACCCCCTCCTTGGCAAGGCTATGGGAACCAGGGGGACAGGGGCAAGAAACCAAGCTCCAGGCATCACCCACCCCAGACATCACACACACTTAGCAGTGCCACTTCTAAGAATATCCCAAAAATACACATGATTAATGCACAAGGATTTTCACTGCACCATTATTTATGATAGCAAAAAGACTGAAAACAATCCAAATGTCCATCAATTGGGACTAGTTAAATGCGCCATGGTATGGCCACAAAATGGAACAGCACACTGCCCAAGAGGAGCGCAGTGGTGTGCGCGGTAAGAGCACGGCACGCCTGCAGCACAGGAAAGGGTGAGGCAGCAGCCGGTGGGAAAAAGAGCTGCTGCCCAGCTCTGCGTGGGGGCGCAGCTCTCCCCAAGAGCCCCTGACCTCCATTCTTCACTTCCTGGGTGGCGAGTGGAAGGACAGGGAGGGATTAGCCCCCGGAGGCAAGTGGCTCAAGCAGACAGAATGGAACAAAAAGAGCAGAGCATCAGGCCCAACCTAAAAGAGGTGGCTCAGCAGGCCAACAGGGCTAAAGCATATAGCCCTGCAGCCAGCTCCTAGGGTGTGAAGCAATGGCCCACTCTTTGTCACCTAGCCCTTAATCCTAGACTAGGCAGGTGGAGAGGAAAGCAGAGACTGCATGGTCCTGGGTGTGTCATCTGCAGGTGGCCTTGTGCTCGCTAGCCCTACTCAATGCACTCCATGACATGTATCTGCAGGGTGTCCATATCGGGAGCCTGATACTGGCACTTGGGACAGCAGAAGTCGGGCGGCTCCTCAGGGGGGCTTCTCCTCTGGCTGGGCAGGGCCAGGTGAAAGGAGTGGGCTGGGAAAAGAGAACAGGCGGTGCCAGGTATATGGGCTTCGTGTATGTCCCAGGTACAAGTCAGAGGGAAGGGGAGGATGGAGAGGCAATGAGACTTGACAGGACTGTCTATTTGACCCTTGTAAGGGTCACCACCCATGTGAGGCCAGGAGCCACCACTACTGCCTCAGGGCAGGGGGCACTGAGGGCGGGGATGGCCAATACCAGCTCCTGCCGTCAAGGCTCTGGAGAGCCCTCCCCACCTGCCTCCTCCTGCAGTCGCTCACTCACCTGGCGCGGGGGGCAACGGGGCCTGGGAGACCTCTATGTGCCGCTTCCTCATATCCTCAATCCTTTGAAAACAGAAACTGTCCAATCAATACGTGCATTTCTGTAAAGCTCCTAGCTGCACTAGCGTGGAAAAAGCTGTTACAAGGACGGGCCCAGAGAAGAGAGGAAGGGAAGTGCAGCAAGGCCTAACCTGGAACGCCAGGTGCCATCGGTCTCCTGTGGTTACCACCGCTGAGCCCCCAGCGCTGTGCCCGCTGCCCGTGAGGCACGCTCTCAGAGGCCTACCTGGCCGACTCCTGACAGCTGGCCTTCAACTTGGAGTACTCCCGCTGCAGCTGCTCCAGCTGCTCCTGCAGAAGCTCCTTCTTTTCAGCCAGCTTCTCCCGGGCCTGCCTCTCAGCCTGGAAGTCCGCCTTGTAGATATCCGCCTGGCAAACGCAGGAGAGAGGGATGTGCCTGCCGTCCAGCCACCACCATCAGGGGCACTCTGTGCTGGGCACTGGGGAAACGAAGCAGAGCCCGCTCCTGTCCTCCCGGAGCCCACGGCAGCACGGAGGAAACACACACGGCAGCAAGTGACCCTAGGTGCACTGAGAGGTCAAGGAACAGCACGAGGGGCTCGGAAAGCTTACAGGAAGCCACTGCAAAATGATGCCAAAGGGATATGCCAGTTGCCAGTGCCAAGGCGGACCACAGAGGAGGGCCCTCACCTGGGCCTTCAGGACTGGAACAGTCTCCATCACAATCTTGTGCTGCTCGGCCTCTTCCTTCAGCTTGTCGATCACTTCCTGTTTGGCCACCAGGGCCTCTTCGGCCTGCTGGAGCCGCTGCTTGAGATCTTCCAGCTGTATTCCCTAAGGACGGGCAAGGGGGAGCTGACAGAGCCTCGTCGGCCCAGGGCGGGGCCTAAGCCACCTCCCGGGCAGGCTGCTGCTCCAGCTGAGGAGAACTGAGAAGGACAAAAGAGTAGCCCTGGCTGAGGCGAGCTGCAACGATGCCAGCCCCTCACTTTAAGAGCCCATCACAGGACCTCAATGTGTACAGGGAGAATACTGCAACCTGTCAAGGCCCAAAAGGACAGAAGAAATGCTGAGGTTTCTCTCAGGACATAGAAGAATCTTGGGACTGAAGGGAACTCTCAGGTCATCTGGCACAACCTCCTACCCAAGGAGACATTCCCTCCACAGAATCCCAGCTGAAGAGACAGGGGCCACACTCACTCCCGTGGCTGCCCACACACAGCGAGCCAGTCCCATGCACGAACCCTCTACCAACTGCATGCCCACCACATGCACATTGTTCCTTCCACTCTGCCGTGTGGTCAAAGGTCTGCTCACCCCACACAGACATCCTCCCGCCACACACACGCACGCACGCACACACACCCCACCAACACTTCCCTCCAGAGAGTACGTGGCCAGTTGTACAACTAACTCTTCCTCATGTGACCTGGTTTCATGCCTCATCCTTATAAGTCTCCTCTAGGTAAATTCACAGTCAACAATGTCCTTCTTAAAATGTGACTGCTAGAAATCACGCCCAGTTTAGGTCTCATGAGGACAAACTAGAAAAAGGCTCACTGCGCCTTTTGACAGTGGGATGGAAATGTTACCCGGCCTTACCTTGGCTCAGGGAAAACTGAGCCAGATGGTGATGGGTGGCAGGAGGGGATGTCCATGGAGACAATCATGTCCCCAGCCTCACAGAAAGAGCATCCCAAGGCCCTGGCCCAGCCCACCATGGGGGTGGCCTGCCGATGTGGCTGAGAGCATCCCAAATGTCCCCACCTCCCCACGGTCTCCCCTGAGCTGTCCCAGCTGCAGGCATGATAAAGGTTTAGAAGTTAAGTATGCCTCCCAAAGGCCAATTCTGTCAAGTCTCAGGGTTCATAGTCTTCCCTGTCCCTGGGGGTGCAGGGAGAGGAAGAGGCAAGGCCAGCCCTAGCCAGCCCTGGCCGGCCATACTCACTCGCTTTCGCTCGCTGCTCACCCCGCTGCTCTTGATGTGGTTGTCATACTCTTGGAAAAGCTGGTGATAGGCCACCTGCAACTGGGCCAGCTTCCGCCTGAGGAAAAGGAGCTTTTGCTGGAGAAACCACCTTGTCCCAGGCCAGCCACAGCTTTACCCATTTCTAATTCTACACTTGTCCTTTCTGTCACATTCCTGGAATGGGGGCTTCCAAGGCCGCACGTGGACTCCTGAGGCCGTCAACTCTGAGGCTTTGCTGACTGCCAGTACTACTGCAATTGGATTGATTGCTAAATAGTTAATATCATTTTCCCTGGAGCTAACATTTTTAAATGTTTATAATAAAATGGAACATCCTGCATGTTTGAAAAATGTCAACTTCATGAAAAACTCAGAAAGGCAGGGGGATTGTTCTAGAGTAAGGGAGATTCAAAAGGCATGCCAAGGAAAGGAACTTGAGGTCCTGGATCAGATACTGGTATAGAAGGGTTTTTCGGGACTCATGTGGGACACACGGTGAAATATAAACGTGAACTGGATAACAGATAACATTATTGTACCAAAGATGAACTGCCTGGGTATGATAATGGTCAACTTTACCATTAGCAAGGCTAAGGGATGGAATCGTCCCTTGCCTACAGCCAGTCCCTAAAAGGACTCTCCAGAAGGCAGAAGAAAGCTACGGGCAATCTGGTACCCACCCGCTCCCCCGCCGCCCTGGGCCACTTCCCAGCAGACTCACTTCTCCTCTGAGGCAGCCTGGCGCTCCATGCGCAGCGCGGCCTCCACGCTCTGGTTCTGCATGCGCAGCTGGTCCACCTGCACGCTGTGCTGCTGCTGCAGCGCCTCACACTCACTCTCCAGCTGCCTGGCCTGCTCGCTGGCTGCCCGGGCCCTGGAACAGGGACAGGAGAACAGACTGAGGGCAGAAGGCAGGGGGAGGGGAGGGGGGCTGCAAGTAGGGTGGGTTCTGAAAATCCTGCGACTACAAGCTGACTCCACACGTCAGGGCGGAGGCACTGTCACCAGAGACAGGGACAACCGCAGGGGGCCAGGTGGGGGCAGCAGATAAGGAGCTCTGCTTGAGTTGTGTTTACTTCAATGCAGGGGCCCAGAAGACACCCAAGTACAGATGGCAAGGAAGCCTGGAAGCAAGCACCTCACAGCTCCCTTAACACATTAACTGCCATGTGAGTTGCATTTAACTCATGCTAGTTTTGAGCCCAGGGCCTCGTGAAGCAAAACCTGCGCAAAGCCCTGCAGTTGATTCATGAAAATCTTACTTGTTGATGTTCTTATTGTTACAATTAATATTGACAAATTAATTCTAAAAACATGCATTAAATGAATAGAAGTCAATAAATTCCATTTTTCATTAAAGTAGAAGGATTATTTTGTTTTCGAAGTTTTAATTCTATCTTCGGAATAAAACACTGTGGCCCCAAGGAAAAAGTTTTTTCTGGTGTGGCAGTCAGTGTGTTAATCTGCACTGGCTCCAGCCTCATCCCACTGCCCCAAGGCCTTCCACAGCCCCCACTGCGGGGGTGATGGCAGGTGCTTCTGTGTGGACCTGGGGTGGCCTCAGGCCGCAGGCAGATGGAGCCCTGCACCAGTCTCCCCAACTCTGCCTGGCTGGCCTAGCTGTCTGGCTCTCTCCCCTCCATGCCTTCATTCACACTTCCCCCCCACCCTGCCCCAGCCCTCTCTGCCCATCAAAGCCCGAGCTTTTACAAGAAGGCTCCCTGACGACTGCCCCAAGTGCACCCTGACCACATACCATGCTGGGATGGCTGGGGCCACTGCTGTCAGCTGGCCCAGCTGTCTGGAGGGCAGCAGCTGGGTGGTATGAGAACCATGGAAACCTTCCTGCCCTTGGATGCAATGATCCCGCTTATAAGAACCAAGTGTTGCTCCATGAATTAATATAAACGTGTTTGCAGACAGGATTTATCTTAGGAGTTTTGCAGAGCTTTGCCCTGAAGGAACATGTGAACGTGTTGGTTTGTATTTCAAATGCTGTTACACTTGGAAGGGTGTCTCTGAAAGACAGTAGCAGCTGTATCCCACAAGGCGCCGCGTTTCTCAGACCTAAAGGTTTGGACTTGCTTTGTAAAGCAAAGCAAATCTGTTAAAAACTACAGGATGAGAGCTGACAATGGAGTGCCCCCCAGAACAGACAACTGCCCAAATGGCTATAAGCAAGCTCTTGTTTAAACACTCTAGACTGCCTGTCTCCATTCACAATAACCTAATAAATATGGAGCCAACATATCTGTTTAACCCCTCTGTTAAGTGATAAATTTACCTTAGAACTTAGAAGTTAATCTTTGAAAGATTTTGTAACTATTTGTTCACGTAGATAGAATTAGTTCAAGGATCTGTAGAAGCCTTTTGAAAATCTGTTAACCTGAGAGGAACTACCTGTTGTTATGTAAATCTGTTACCCCTGGCAATTAATCACTATTCCCTATAAGTTACCATGTAAGACCTCATTCGGGGCTTTTTGAGACCCACAGAGAAGGTCCAGGCCCCCTGAGATCCCGCTTTGCCTATAATTTTCATAAACTTACAAAACTATATCTTTGTCTCTGTGTATTCTTTTATTTTTTTTTATTTTCCATTTTTCTCTATTATTTTCTCATCCCTTGCAACTCTACCAAAGGGACCTGGTTTTTTGCGGGGAACGTTGGCCACATTCCCGGCAACCAAGACCCTTTTGCAAAAGAGAATGACTGGCAGGCCTGAGGCTGCTGGCTCACAAGGTTGGCCCTTGGCTGGTACAAGTTCCCTCCACTGCTGTGACATTTTCCCTACTGATGAGGGTGGGCCCTACACCTGGAATGTGGTTTATGCCAAGCACCTACTCTCCTGCTGGGAGTTGGGAATTTTGGTACATGCCCAGTAAAGGATGCCAACATGACTAGACCTCAATGAATACCCGAGGTGCCAAATTTCTAGCGAGCATCCCTGGGCAGAAACACCAAACTCCACCCGTGGCTCCTGCCCTGGCAGGTCTTGCCACATGCCCTTTCCCTATGATCAACCTCAGCTGGTGGGGCGACTGTGTGCCAGGTCCTGAAAGTCCTTCCAGAGAACAACGCACTGTGGGTGTGGTCCTCGAACCCCTGAAATGCCTCCTAAAGAAATAATACAAACTTCAACAAAGGGTCAAAGCCCAGATATTTCCAAACACCTGCTCTGACATCCGTAAGGTATTCATGCGGCGTCCACGGAGGAATTCCCTGGAGGCCCAAAACCCACCTCATTCTTCTTAAAACCCTGGAAGTGGCCTCCAGGGCAGGCTTTTGGTCCCCACTCACCTGCCCTCCAAAGCCTGCCGTTCCTTAGTGGCGGCCTCCAGGCAACTCTGGCTCTCTTGGAGCTCCCCCAGCAAGGATGTCACCTGAGCTTTCACAGAAGCCTTGTCTTCAGCCATCTGCTGTAGGAGAGAAAGCCACTCCTGTCAGCACTGCTTTGTCCCGAGATGCCACTCCAAATCCCGAAGCATGTACACCCTAAGGACTTCTCACCTGCCCTCAGCACCCTCAAAGCCAGGCACCCTAAGGCCTCATGAACCCAGCAGCCACCTAACCCACCCCAGTGCTCCACCTTGACCTGCCCAACTTCCCCCACTCATCTCAGCCTCATCTCCTGAAGCTGCCCAACCCCAGCAAGACAGCTGAAGCAGTGGAAAGGGGTCGAGTCCTGGCCACCAAGACCCCCTCCTGACTCCTGCAGATGGGGCAGAGACCACAACGGCTGAAGTAGCACAGAGATGCCCTGAGTCTCCTGAGGCTGCCAACAGCTCAGCCACTGCCCTGGCAACTAGGCTGTGAGGGCTGCACCTGGTGGCTTTGTGCTGTGCCCCAGCAGGGAATGTCTCTCAGCCTCTCTGAGACTCGGTGCAAAAGGAGGCAAGACACAGAGACAGCAGAGAAAATACAAGCTCTAGTCCACAGGCCTGGGGCCACAAGGTGAGAGTTTTTGTAAAGCAAGAATGGATACTGAATTTTGTTAAACACTGAGAACTGCAAAAACTCTCGGCATGAACACTCCATTCAAACCCCTGCACTAAGACACTTGACCCAACTTTAACAAGGCTTCTGGAAGCCTAAGGCCACATCCCTGGGATGCCCCAGCCCCCTTTTGAGTTCCCATCTGGGAACACTCAGGGCTGTCAGAAGAATGTACTGTTCCTTCTGGCCAGCACCTGACACAGGACCCTGAACTCCACTTCTTAGAACATTTACTAAAAAGGGCTCCCAGCTGTGAATGCCTGCTCTGTCCCTTTGAGATGTCTGTGTATCGCCTACAACCTAGCAGTGTCTTTCTCAAGGACCCGAGAGCCATCAGGAAGGGTAGGCCCCCATCTGCCAGTCGCCGTGGGAGGGCAGGATCCTAACTTCCATAAACAGCTGGCTTCACTGCATGGACGTTGACCCCCCTTTGTCGTTTTTCACTTGAGGCCCCACTCACCCGCCTCTTGACCCCCTCATTCTCCCTGTAAAACACCCAGTGCCCTCTGCGCACATCAGAATAGAGCTCAGCTCTTCCCCCTACTTTAAGCCCCCCAGTTTGTGGTACCTTATTACAGCAGTCCTAGAAAACTCATACACTTCCCCAGATGGCAAACAAAGGCCTTAAGCCACCAATTCTCCCCACATTGCCCCTCAGAGGCAGCACATCTCCTTCTTGACTACTGTCACCAGGATCGTGAGATCAGCCAAGCTCGGACAGAAAGGCTCTGAAACAGCCTTCAGCAAACACTAAGCATGCTTTCCTTTGGAGGTTCTGCCCAGTGTAGGGTCAACCCCCAGGCCTGGGGGTCTGACCTGCTCCTGGAGGATAATCTCTAAGCCCCTGGAAAATCCTGCCTGATAAGAGTGTCTCAGTTTAGCAGGGGCCTAGGACCCTGCCAGGTAGTCTACGCTAATGACATGATTTGTGGGGGCAGCCTGAGCCACATGCTATCAGTGGGACCTTCAGGTGGTTGGAGCCTGTGTAGCCAGGTCAGCCCCGTGGGCGCTCCATGCCTACGTGACCCACCCCCAGTACAAACCCTGGACACCACAGCCCAGGGGGAGCGTCCCTGGTTGGCAATACTCCACATGTGTTGTCACACATTGTTGCTCACAAATCACTGCTGGGAGAGTTAAGCACTGTCCATTCACCTCCCCGGAGAGGACACCCGGAAGCTCTCGCCCAGCCTCTGCTGGACCCCGCCCTCCGCACCTTGTACCTTTGCTGATTTTAACCCCTGCCCTTTCGTTGCAATAAACTGTAGCTTTTCTGACTTCTAGTCCTCCCAGCACATCAGTTCTTGGGGACCCCTGGTTCCCTCCTGGAATACTAGTGTCCCTGTCAGAATGCAGGCAGCTGGTGCCACGGGTGGGGCTAGGCCCCCAGCTCCTGGCTACCTGCTGGCATCTCTTCAGGTGCTCCACCTCCTGCAGGGCCTGCTCCCTCTGCCTCCTCAGGTCGAGCTTCTCCAGGCTGAGTCTCTCCACCAGTTTCTTGGCCTCCTGGAATTTGTCCATGAGGAACTCCTTCTCCTCCCTCTGGCTGACTTGGAAATGCAACAGCTCCTCACAGCGCTCTCGCAGCATCTGGTTGCTCTGCCGGATGGCATCTGGTGGCAAAGGGGACAGCAAAGGGAAGGTGAGCCTGAGGCTCAGGAGGTCAGAGGCCAGAAGCAGGAGCCCCCCATCCATAATACTAAGTGGCCTCTCACAGGGATAGCTGGCTTCCAAACACCCCCTTTTATGCTTTAAACTCTTCCAAAATCAGTTACACTAATAATATGCCTCTAAGTTTCTCTAAGAAATACCAAACACACCAGCTTCACTTAAAAGTATGTGTCACATGCCACTTTCTTTGTAAGCAACTCTGGAATTCATCTGTATTCTGGTCAATTCAGGTATGCCTGCCCTGGGGCACTGAGTCCCTCCCAGGACCACAGCCCTGCTTTCTTCCAGATCAGCGTGTTCTAGCATGCCTGCGGTCAGCAGAGGCCAGAGGAAAGGAAAGCCCCACACCCAAGGGACATCCCGGGTAGTAAAGGAGCTGTCTGAGGTAATAAAACCGATCAGTGACATATGAAGGTTCTAGCAAGTACAGAGCTGTATAAAATGGGGGCAGGCAGTCAAGACCCTTGACCAGCTAACTACTTCCTGCTGACAAGCACAATACCCACCCACCCCCTCCACCCACCCTGGGGGAACCCATCCAAATCCTGCTGGCTCAGCTCAAAGTTCAGCTCACATGCAACTTTTTTTTAAATGTTTTTGTTTGTTTGTGATGGAGTCTCGCTCTGTCACCCTGGCTAGAGTGCAGTGGCATCACTGTAGCTCACTGCAACCTCAAACTCTGGGCTCAAGTGATCCTCCTGCCTCAGCCTCCCTAGTAGCTGGGACTATAGGCTCATACCAGTGCGCCTGGCTAATTTTTCTATTTTTAGTAGAGACCAGCTCTCACTCTTGCTCAGGCTGATCTTGAACTCCTGAGCTCAAGCGATCCTCCCGCCTCAGCCTCCCTGAGTGCTAGGATTATAGGCGTGAGCCACCACGCCCAGCTTGCAACTTTTTTTTTTTAATTGTTTTAACTGAGGTAAAATTCACATAACATCAAATTCACCATTTTAACTATTTTAAAATATACAGTGTCTACTCGGGAGGCTGAGGCAGGAGGATCGCTTGAGCCCAGGAGTGTGAGGTTGCTGTGAGCTAGGCTGATGCCACGGCACTCTAGCCGGGACAACACAGTAAGACTCTGTCTCTAAATAAATAAATAAATAAATAAATAAATAAAATATACAGTGTCAATTCAGTGGTTTTTACTATATCCATAAGGTTGTGCAACCATCAGCACTACCTAATTCCAGAACATTTCCAGCACCACAAAAAGAAACTGCAGACCCATTAGCAGTCACTTTCCCTTTCCCCCTCTCCAATCCCTGGCACCTACCCACCTGTTCTATGCCTCTGGGGATTGGCATTGCCCTCTTCTGGACAAGTCACGTAAACTGAATCACGTACTAGGTACACAAACTTCTTCCATGAAGCGTCTCCCCAAGCATTCCAAACAAAGACTATGTCCTCCCTTCTCCCTGGCTCTCCCAGCCTTCTCCACCAACACAGTCATGAGCATCTTGGGCGGCAGACATCTTCAGGACCCCTGGGGGTTTGATCCAGGGCCCGACACATGGAGCCACTGAGTTCCACTTGCCATGGAGCCACTGAGTTCCACTTGCCACCCACCAAGCTCAGGTCAGGCAGAGCAGGTAGAAGCAATATAGCCTCAAGGCCTCCACATGCTGCTGGAGCCCCAGGGAAGCTGCTGCACGGAACACACGGCCTAGAAGGGAACCAGGGTCCCTGCACAGCTGGCGTGCAACACTCTCACTCCCAAGTCTCCCTCGGTAGAGCTCTCTCCTGGGGACGAGCAGAGGCCCCTGACCTGGTTGCCAGCTCTATGTGCACTAGTGTCCTGAAGGCCCCAATACAGCAGGTCTCACCTGGGGACAACTGGAAATGTCTGGGGGCATTGTTAGTTGTCACAACTGGATGGGTACTGCTGGCATCTAGTTGGCAGAGGCCAAGGATGCTACTCAACACCCTGCAGTGCGCAGGATGCCCCCACCACAAAGAATCATCCAGCTTCAGGTGCCAACGGTGCTGACCTGGCCCTAAAGCAGGCAGCTCATGTTGGTTCTCTCTCTCCAATGTAGCTTCACCCTCAAGGAGACCAAGCAGCCCCTTGGTGGCAACATGAATGCGTTAGGCCCCTTTCACCCTGGAAGGAAAGGCGATTCGTCTTGACAAAAAGACGAGACATATATTCTAGGCACGGATTTGGTCCCTGCCCACAGGGTGTCAGCCAGCACCAGTCTCTGAAGCCTACAGAGCATGTGACTGGTTGGCACAGGAGCCCACATAACTTCCAGACCACTGTCCAGCAAAGGAGGTGGGGGAGTGGGTCAGTAACTATGGCTTCCACTGGCCACAGCACATGCTGCCTTGCCCAAGAGCCACCGGCCAGCTAGGGATATAGAGGCCCAGCCATGTGGGTCATTCCAGCTCCGAAGCTCCCCTAGGGTCAGCCGAGGCTGTCCTGGAGCCTGCCCCACAGCCCACTTCTCCCTCTGCCCACCCCTGCTCCTTCCCCTGTCCCTCCTTTCCCTTGCCCAGTACTGGTCCTGAGTGCCCTGTAAATAAACTTCCTGCCCTCTGATCTGCACTTCAGCATCCACTTCTGGGGAACCTCACCTGAAACCAAGAGGGAGGATAGCTAAGCTTGAAATGTTAGCCACCTCTCAGGCGAATCTCCACCCACACCCAGCAAACACAGAGGTGCGAGTGAGGAGAACAAGCCTTTCCCTCAGCAGGGCTGGGTCTCCTGACGTTTACTCCACCCACCCGCTGTCTTCCTCACCTCGGAGCTCTTGATTCTCCTCCAGACAGCGCTGGAGGGTTTCAGAACTGCCCTGCTCTGAAGGCAGATGCAACATGGCTGGCTTCCCCAGAGAAGACTCTTCACACAGCACGTCCTGGTCTCCTGCTGGGCCACCACTGGGCTGTACCATCTCACACAGCTGATTCTTCCAGAGGTGTCTGCTCATCCAACAAGTCACGGTCTGGAAGAGAAAGGCAGCGGAGGCATCACATGAGACCCATGCAGAATTCTCTTACCCAGCAGGACAAGGAGCTTACTCTGTGCAGGAGTTATGTGGCCAGGGTTCAGCACTGATTTTTTTTTTTTTTGAGACAGAGTCTCACTCTTTTGCCCGGGATAGAGTGAGTGCCGTGGCGTCAGCCTAGCTCACAGCAACCTCAAACTCCTGGGCTCAAGCGATCCTACTGCCTCAGCCTCCTGAGTAGCTGGGACTACAGCATGCACCACCATGCCCGGCTAATTTTTTCTATATTTTTAGTTGTCCGATTAATTTCTTTCTATTTTTAGTAGAGATGGGGTCTCGCTCTTGCTCAGGCTGGTTTCGAACTCCTGAGCTCAAACAATCCGCCCACCTCGGCCTCCCAGAGTGCTAGGATTACAGGTGTGAGCCACCGCGCCCGGCCTTCAGCACTGATTTAAAACTCTCTGCCTAGCACCTATATCCAGGCTGTAAATGGAAGTTAAGAATTTCAACAGAGGTGGGAAATTAGGGAGGATTATGTGTGGAGGGAGATGTCAGTGTGCTGGGAATCATACCCCTAAACACCTCCAAGCTGGAGAAGTAGAAGGTGCTGGCCCCTAACCTAGTATAGCAGGCTGAATGGCAGCCCCCAAAAAGATATGTCCACGTCCTAACCCCCAGAACATAAAAATGTGACTTTATTTGGAAAAAGGGTGAACTTATCCTGGACTACCGAGTGGGACCTGACTCAATGACAGGAGTCCTGAGAGACAAAAGAGGAGACAGAGGGAGACACACAAGGGAGGAGGCATGTGGAGACGGAGCTGGGACTGGAGTGATGTGGCCACAGGCCCAGGAACAACTCAGGCTGCAGAAGCTGGAAGAGCAGGAGAGGGCCCTCGCCTAGAGCCTTCAGGAGTGTGGGTTTGCTGACCCTTTCATTTTGGACTTCTGGTCTCACGAACTAAGAGAGATTAAATTTTTGCTGTTTTAAGCCATCAAGCTTGTGGTCATTTCTTACAGCAGCCCTGGGAAACTCCTATACCCAGTAAGAGGGGCTTTGAGGAGACCAATCGGAGCCTGATGAGTGTGTCTTGGAGCTAGGGGTAGGGGCAGAGGGGACATCTGCTGTCTGATGACATGTGCTAAGGAATCTAAAAGTGGGAGCTAGGCTGTCAGCCTGAGACAGTGGGGCAGAGAGATAGGTTGAGCTGCTTGTGTTCTCTTGTGAACTAGAAGTAGACCATGTGGGACAGTGCCAGCCTGGAGCCCTTTCAAATCCTGCCCAAGAAGACTGACTACCAGGAGAAGGCAAATCTGATACAAGTTTCTGGAAGAATGCCTGAGGTGAGGGAGGGTGACTTTAACACCAAATAAACTTTGCCACTTTGACTATTTACACCGATACTGTCCCACTGAATACCCCACTGACCCATCAGCAGCAGAAGACACAGCTGATCTCTCCCTCCTCAATATACTTTCTTCCTTTGGCTTCCACAACAGCCCACTGCCCTGGTTTTCCTCCTACCTCACTCCTGCTCAGGCACTTTGACCAGGCTCCCACCCCTTCATATTGGGTGCCCCAAGGCTCTGTAGTGGAACCTCTTCTCTTTTCTAACTACATTTGCTCCCGTAGTAATTCTATCCAGTCTCGTGGCTTTAACCCCAATCTGAATGCTTAATTAGACTACACTCCACACTCACATATCAAACTCAACATTTCTACTTGGATATCTAGTAGTCCTCTCAAAACTAACCTCTCTAAAACTCCTGACACTCCCCCAAAGCCAATTCCATCCAAGGAACTTTTATCAGTTGATGGCAAATCCATCCTCCAGTTATCAGGACAAATAACTTGGAGTCCTTCTTGACTCTCTCTCATTGAGAAAGAAAGAGAGAAAGAGAGAAAGAGAGAAAGAGAAAGAGAGAGAGAGAGAGAGAGAGAGAGAGCGCGCGCGCGCGCACGTGTGAGCGTGCATTCACATCTAATCAATCAGAAAATCCTGTCAAAATGTATCCCACAATCAATTTGATGACACTAAGCAATTAACATTAACTATTTTAGGTGTGATAATAATTTTGTGGTTATGTTTTATAAAGTTGCTTCTTAGAGAGATGTATACTAAAATATTTACAGATGATGTCTAAAATTCATTTCAAAACAATGGAAAAACTCCTAGGCATATACCCAAGAGAAATGCAAACACACGTTCACATGTGAACACTTGTAGCAGCATTACTCATAACAGCCAAAGAATGGAAACAATTCAAATATCCATCAACTGATAAACAAAATCTAGTACATCTACATGCTAGAACGTGAACAAATCTTGGAAATATTATGCTAAGAGAAAGAAGTCACAAAAGACTATGTATTGTATAATTCCATTTATATGAAATGCCCAAAATAGGCAAATCCATAGAGACAGAAAGTAGATTAATGGCCACTGGGAAGAGCCTCTTAGGGGTGGGAGGGATGGGGTGAGTGGGGGCTGATAGCTAAAGAGCATGGGGTTTCTTTTTAGAGTGATGAAAACGTTCTGGAATTAAGTGGTGATGGTTGCACAACTCTGTGAATATACGTACTACAAGCCATTGAGATGTACAGTTTAAATGGGTGAATTGTGCAGCATTCTCAATGAAGCTGCTATTGAAAATAATGGGAGAGGATTGTGAGAGGTATAAATTAAATAAAATTAGCCACAAGTTGATAACTGTTGAAATTAGGAGATGGGTACATGGGATTTACTATACTAATCTTTCTACTTTTGTACATTTTTAAAATTTTTCAGCAATAAAATGCTCAAAGCACCATTGTCTCTCACCTGGATTACTGCAATGGCTTCTTAACAGGTCACCCTGCTTCCACCCTTGCCTCCTACAGTCTATTCTCCCCACCGCAACCAGAACGATCAGTCTAAAAGATAATTCTGATCTCGTCCCTCCTCTACTGAGAACCATATCACAGCTCCCCATTGCCCCTGGTGTAAAAGCCAAAGTCCCTACAATGGCCTATAAGACCCTGTACCATCTGGTTCCCCATTCCTTCCTCTCCAACTATGCTCCCCTTACTCACTCTGCTCCAGCCTCTTTGCTGTTCCTCGAATGTACCAGGATGGCCCATTCATTCTCAGGTCACAGAGTGGTAATAGGGTGGGCAGATATTAATCGTTTTGCAAAGTGAGCAAACTGAGGCACCCGAGATAAGATACTTGGCTGCCAAACTATATTTGAGGCCTTTTTAAAGAATTCAACGACTTCAAGATCATTCAACTTTGAACAGTAAATGTCTCCGAACTAGAAGAGTCCTCGCACTAAAGTATGGTCAGACCCCGCGGCGGCGGCGAAGGGAGGGGCTGAAACAGTCCCGCTCGCCGCTCAAGTAACCTGTGTCCTGAGTCGGCCCGCCTTGGCCAGAGTTCCAGAAGCGCGCGGCAGGAACGGGCTGTGGCCCAACAAGAGGGGGAGCCTGAACGTCCGGGGGAGTCCCAGAGGCGGCGACCACCCGCCGATGGAACCCTGTCTTCGGGGAAGAAGACCACACCTGTCAGCAGAGCCGGTCAGACGTGAGGAGGGTGGGAGCGGCGGGCTGCTAGCGTTCCTAGGGCCCCGGCGCTCTGAGAAAGTCCCAGTTCTGCGGTCGCCCTTTCTCCCCTGTCGAAATCCCCGCTACCGGCTTCCGGTGTCGTGGACGTGGGATCCGGAAGTAAAAACATGCAACCCCGCCCCCAGGAACGCAGGAGGCAGGCGAGAGCTGCGAGACCGCGGCAAGGCCGCATCTTGCTCCAAATCCAAGTCCAAGCCTGCTAGCCTTGGCCAGCCCGCAGGACACTCCCTAGTGACAAGCACCACCCGCTACTTTTGAGGGCACCACGACCTACATTGCTCCTTGTCGCTCAGATGGTGGCACCCAGCCTCGGGGCGCTCGGCCATCCGGCCCTTGCCAGGGGAGAAGTCAAGAAGAGGCTGCCCAATAGGGCCAGCCTGACCCGAGAGCAGGTGACTGATTCCCGAGGGGGCGGAGCTTCAGAAGGCCCCACCCAGACGTCGAAGGCAAAGCCAGAGGAGGCGTGGGCCTCGCTGCTGGCGGAAGTGGCTCCTCCGCGAGGGCGCAGGGCCTTCAGGGCGGGAAGGAAAAGCGGACCGTAGGGGCGGGGCTGGCGATGGGGACGCGTGAGAACTGTGCGGAGCAGAGGCAGCTGGGACAGCAAGCGGCCGGCACAGGTGCCTGAGGGGTGGGCCGGGGCGGCTCGAGAGCGGGACTGGCCAGGGATGCGCGCGCACCTGCCCTCGCCCCGCCTGCGCGAGATGGGGGCCGAGGCTCCGCCCCGCGCGCCTCTCCTGAGATCGGTCAGCTCGGCCGAGGCGTCCGCCCCCGCTGCTTAAATGGGCTGGCGGGGAACAGCCCCCGGAAACGGCAGTGCACTCCCGGGCTGTGAGCGCGGAGGGCGGCGGCTACAAGGCGCAGGTAACCAGGCAGGCGGGCGCCGCACCGGCGGAGGGGCGTGCTGCCTACCTCTACACCACGCTCCCCTTTGATGCACGCTGTTTGCTGTTCTTGGGAATGGAGCAGAATCGAGAGGATCTTAACCGATCCCTTTATACTCTGCACCTCCCTCGTGGGGCCCTTGAGTACACTCAAACCTGGCGAGGGGAGGGCAATTGCCAGGGTCACCCAGCTCGCCAGGGGGAGAACTGGAGCTGAACTCCATCATCTGCACAATCTAACATGCTCCATCCAGGTCTTCGTAGAGTTTCTGCTACAGTCCTAGGCATGTACTGCCATGCCCCAAGTAGGGTTTAACTCGGTTGCACGTAACTGATGCTCTAGCTGGAATCCACCAATGTTTATTTGGGTAATTTTGTAAGGTATGCCCTGAATGAAAGCTTGGGAAGGTATGGCTAGGGGCCAGAGCCGGCCCTTTCTAACTCACCAAATCTCCTGTTTCCCACCAGCCCCACCCCACCCCCCCGCCGCTCATAGCGAGTGGTTTTGGTAAGAGTGGTTTTGGTAATCAGGCGTTACCCCTTACCCGTTACCCGAGTGAGAGCCCAAAGGAACCCTCCCACTTTGTCAATGAGCCTTTCTTCCTCCAGAGAGCATCATGGCCGAGCAGGTGGCCCTGAGCCGGACCCAGGTGTGCGGGATCCTGCGGGAAGAGCTGTATCAGGGTGATGCCTTCCACCAGTCGGATACACACATATTCATCATTATGGGTGCATCGGTGAGTCTTCCTCAGGCCCTGAATCTTAAAAGACAGACTTTGAGTGTGACATTGTGCGAGGCACTTCCCGATCCGGGCCTCCCAGCTTTCCCAGCTGATTGTTCGGCCACACTAGGCGCAGGCTCCGCTAGGTCGAGCTCTTCCTATTGCTCTTGCCCGTGGGCCATTATCATCCTACCACCTACCTGATATACACACAAGGCATTTCTGAAACCTGTGCCCAGCTACTGAATATAGAGCTGAGTCCTGGGGCTACAAGGTCCTTGAGAACCATCTACTTGGACCTTTTCCTCCTCCCTGGGGAAACAAGGAATGCTATTGATTCTTTCAGTATTTTTTTCAAACCTGTTCATGATGTGACAAACGTCACAGAGTTCGTTAGTTCCAAAGGCAAGATCTGAAGCCCAGTCTCTGCCTCTTCTCTCTACCACACCAAGTTCCCTAGGGACAAACAGGCAGCCTTTCTTTGAATGCCATCTCTTGGCCCCAACTTGCAAAGCCTGCTGAAAAGCTCCACCCCGCCCCAACTGGCCCCAGTCGTCCAGCTGGTGAAACTGCCACTTTGATGGGCAAGGCCCAGGAGTAGAAGCAAAGGCAGAGGTGTAGCATGATGGTGGCACTTGGGAGGGGAGGCAGGAGAGGGAGGGGTAGTCCTAGTAGAGCCATGGCCCCCAGACTAGAGCATGGCCCCCTATGTGCCATGTGGCAGAGAGACATGGGCAGGACCAGGGTTTCATCTCGAATTAAAATGGTCTCAATTTTTCACTTTTAACCCTAGATGCACCCAAGAATCTGCTTACCATCCTCTGACTATCTTTGCCATAACTTATCGTGTAATCTCAAGCAAGAGTTCTGTGAAAACTAGTTAGCTCTTGACAGGATAGGCCTTGGCCCAGCACCTTGCACATTGTGGCCCCTCAGTGCCATAGGAACTCAGTAGTTTTTTGTTCACATTTAACAACGTGCCACTGCCCTTTGCCAAGCCTGCTCTCTGCCACCTTTGTATTTCTGATCAGCCACAAACCTTAACAGTTAGGACTCTGACCATTAGGCCCTTAGTATAAGAAGCAGATCGAGGAAGAAAGTGAAGGTGATTTCTCCCTATTCCCTTGTCCCCATCCCATGCTGTCATAAGGACATGCCAACAGAGCGACCCAGGCCACAATAATATAACTTATGACTTCAGGCACTCAACTCTTAGACACCTCATTGAGAGAATCCAGGCTTGCTGTGTGACTTACAGCAAGTGTCTTCCTTTCCCTGAACCTCAGTGTGAAACTAACACCAAGAGTCTCTCAGGCTCTTCTCAGCTGATTGTGTGACTTCTGCTGCCTTCACCTATGGCCAGCTTGGGGTTGGGCAACTTTGTTTCATTGCAATCAGTAGGCTTCCACTTTGCTCTCCTGTGCTCTGGGAGTGACAACCAGAGGTTCCCAGACAAGAAATGGCAAGTGCCAGCTCCCAGGGAGGGTCGGGGGGACTAGAGGTACCCTGGAGAGCCTCTTCCTGCTGGAGGGGCTGGAGCAGGGCTGGGGACCATGCTCAGGCATCACCTAGAAGAGCCCCTACCCTCAGGCCTCCTTCCATACCACCTCACTTGGTGCAGGAGGTAGGCAGGGTAGCACTGGGGACACACTATCCCCAAACCCACTTCTCTGGGAAAAGTTCTTTAGTCATTCATTCGACACAAAGCGATCGAGTACTCCTCTGGACACAGCAGCCAGAGTCCCTGCCCTCTTCGTGGGACTTGTGTGCTGTAGGGGGCCGGGGACCCAAGGTGAGTAAGCACACCGACAGGAGTTCAGAGTGGTGCATGTAAGAGAGGACACAAATGGGCCGTTGTTTCCCCAACCCTGCACAACATGTAGATCCCACAAGGACAGCCTGCAGAGTGAGGCCCACAGATGAGGGCCAGGGGAACATCCCATGCGAAAGGAAGAGCAAACGCTGAAGCCCAAGTCGGGAATGAGCTCAATGGGACCTAGAAACTGAAAGCAGGCCAGTGGCTGGCAGGCCCAGAGCCGGGGCAGGTGGGGCCCATGTGGCCATCCCCTGTCCCTTCCTCCTCCCCGGCCAGCTTACCCAACCCTCACCCACATGGCCAGCTTCCTTCCTGGGGCTGTCCTGACACTGGTTCACAGAGTTACCAAATGGGCTTTGAGCCACTTGCTGTTCCCCCTTCTGTGCAGCTACTTCCCCCTTCTCACGACTCCTACCCACACCAGAAAGGGAGTGGAGGTACTTATTGTCCCGTTCCAGAAAGTTCTGGCCTTATAGACCAGTGTAAGGGAAGGAGCCTTGGACCTGGAACAGCATCTTCTCCTACCTGATAAGACGTCAGCAAGGCTAGGGAGTGTCTCTTCCCCCCACACAGGGAATTTGGGGATGAGAATAGGACTGGGAGTCTGCTTGGGCCTCAGTTTCCCCACCTGGGCCATGAGGGCCATGGGCTCGATGGGTGCTCAGGACCCATCCTGATAATGGGTCTGTATGAGGGATGACCTGGCAGCTCCAGCCCCTCCCTCTCCTCAAAACATTTCTGGGCTAACTTCTCCCCCTTGGGTTGATAAAATTCTTGCTATGTCATGATGTTGGCACTCCCCCAGAGGCCTGGTGACTCACAAGCCCCAGGGTGTAGGAGGGATGCCCTTTTGTTGGTTTTTCAGCCCAGCTTAGCTCAGCAGCCCCCAGGTTCTCTCGCCCCAGTGGCCACGAGCCAGCTGAGCCCCAGCCAAGGCCCAGGGCTCTGCCCCAGGATGCAAGACAGATCGTTGACCCCAACGACCCTAGGGGTACCGGATGCCCCACCCCTGCTGGGTCTCAAGCGCCCTCCATCCTAAAACCCTCACACCAAGACAAAGGACTGCAGTGATTTGGGTTTATAAAACAGGAGGCTGAGGCCAAATCTCAAGCGACCACAGGTAGATCGTGGCCCAGGTCCCTTTGCCCTAGCTTGACCGGACATCGGGAGCTGGAGATCTTTTTTTATTTTATTTTTTATTTTTTTTATTTTATTATTATTTTTTTTGAGACAGAATCTCTCTCACTTGCCTGGGCTAGAGTGCCGTGGCATCAGCCTAGCTTACAGCAACCTCGAACTCCTGGACTCAAGCGATCCTCCTGCCTCAGCCTCCCAGGTAGCCGGGACCACAGGCATGTGCCACCATGCCCAGCTGATTTTTTCTATTTTTAGTTTTTTGGCCAATTTCTTTCTATTTATAGTAGAGACGGGGTCTCGCTCTTGCTCAGGCTGGTCTCGAACCCCTGAGCTCAAGCAATCCTCCCGCCTCGGCCTCCCAGAGTGCTGGGATTACAGGCGTGAGCCACCGCGCCCGGCCGGTGGCTGGAGATCTTAATCATGTCCTGCTTCTGCTGCTAGGTCACCATGTGTCCTTGGGTAGATCCTTCCCTGCCGTGGTCCTTGGGTGACATGAGGGGGTAGGGAAAGATAAGCGGCTTCCAACCACTGCTCACCAAGAGCCCCATTTATCGCCCCCCCACACACGCATGGTGTGTTTAGGTTTTCTTGAGCAAGCTGGAAGGTTCCCTAATGTCTTCTCATATTCATTCCTCCAGAGGAGTCCTCAGTAAGAAGGGCAGGGCCACCCTGAGCCCTGAGGGGAGCCATGCGGCACAGCTGGACTCCCCTCAGTTGGAGGGGGTGGCCTGCCTCCCCCCTTCACCCGCTGTCCTCGGTCCTACCTCTAGGGTGACTTGGAACCCAGCAGACTGTCAGTTGCAGGGGCTGAGCTGAAACAAGGCAAGCAGGTTCTGTCGCTGGTTAATCCCAAAGGGAGCAGCAAGAACAAACAGTTTGGGGTGTAGGGCAGCTGTGACTCAGCAGAGCAGTCTCCTGCCACCAGCATTGTCTGGAGTCTGCTTGGATTCCTCCCAATCGGTTGGAATTTGGTCATAAGCAAACATTACCTGCTGCAAGGCTTAAAGCTATTTGCACATTGTGGTTCCCAGCAATTTGGCGCTTTCGGGAGTGTGCAGGGCCAACACTGAGCTGACGTGACATGACTAATGGGACAAGCGAGGATAGGGGGTCATCCGAGCTAGACCTTCAAGGACGCTAGAGCAGAAGCGTCTCCTAGCAGTGAGAGAATCAAGCAGCTTCAGGGAGCAGCAAGTCGACCGCTGGGGTGGCCACACTGGGCATCACGTGGGCAGCGATGGGCGAGGAGGTCCCACAGACAATCTGAGCCCAGCTGGTGGCAGGTCTGGGACATCTTTTTGAAGACAGTCACTGCAGCATGTGGGGGACAAGGAGGCCATTTAGGAAGTTCTCACAGCAGTTCACATGGAAGGTGGCAATTACAGTAGGGACCCATTCCAGAGCACCTGGCACATAAATTGTGAGTGGTTGGCAGACATGGCCAGGGGGTGGAAGGAATTGGTCCACTAGGCACCAACACAGGGAACCCTGATTTGGGAAGAGCCCACTTGAGGGCTCGAGGGTCCCAGTGGAGACTGGAGATGAGCAGCAGACACTTGCTTGTGTGTGCCTGGCACTCAGCAGCATCTGGGCTGGGACAGAACTTGAGAGTAATCAGCCTGCAAGTCCCCATCTGAAGCCCCAGGCGTGGCCAAGATCACCCAAGCAGAATCGGAGGCAGAGCAGAGCCCTGCAGATCGTAGACATCCCTGAGTGCCCATGGAGCCCACCCGCCCTGGGTAGCTGTTTCCTACCTGGGATCCCCCTTCGTGGCTTCCTAACTGCCTGTCTGTGGGCGGGGTTGGCTGTGGTTACACGGCTTCCATTTTGTACTTGTTCATAGAAATGGACTCATCCAATGGTCGTGTTACTTGATCATTTTTGAAGTTTATACGTAAGACAGTGCCACCTCCTCATTTTTAAAGGGCTAGTCGGCATGGGCTGGGCCATTGTATACGAGTCCACTTGTGATGGTAGTAAGTGGCCTTTCAGGTGTGCTGGAGCTGGGAGCAGGTGACTCTACCTTCAGGGAGGCCCGCAGTATGTGGAGCCCACTGGTGACATGGGACCAAGACAGGGAGTGTTGTTCTGCCTGCCTTCTTTTTTTTTTATATATATAATATTTTTTTTTATTTCAACATATTATGGGGGTACAGATGTTTAGGTTACGTATGTTGCCCTTGCCCCCGCCCCCCTGCCTGCCTTCTTGAGGGTTGGTTTGAGCTCAGAGAAGGACAGGCTACATCTGAAAAGTCATCCCAAACATCTGGAAAAAATCGGGTTCAAAATAATTTGTTGGATGTGGTGTTTTGATTTTTTTAATCAGATATGTCTGTAGGTAAGGCTTCTAGAAGTTAATTTTGCATTTAATATTCCAGCCCTTCACCCCTAGAGTTGATTTTTTTGTCTGGGGTGAGGCAGGATCCAGTTGGGCCAGTCTTCAGCAGCGCTCTGGGCCTCTCTGTCTTTCTGGCCGCTCTGCAGCCCTGGCTCATCCCATACTCTTGATTATAGGGTCCGGAGATGAAAGGGCGGACTGCCGCTCTGTGCTTCAGGAGGCCCTGGCCTTCTTGCACTTTCCCCTTCCACCTAAAGTGTGTCAAGTTACAAAAGTAAAGCATGTTGGGTTGTTGATAAGCTTTCAGAGAAGGGACCATGTGATTCTGCCCAAGAACCAGGGGGGGGCCCCTGTGTAGGTCATCTTCGATGTCTTTAACCGAGTTTGATCATTTCCTCCTAGTGGGCTCACATGTGTTTCACTGGATTTATTTCTGGGTTCTTTATAATATTTGCTTTTGTAAATGGTATTATCTTGAATTATTTTTTCCCAACAAATCTTGTAAGTGTGTAGCCGATGACTTTTCACAAACTAAGCACACCCAGGGAAGCTGCTCCTAGAGCAAGAAACAGAACATTATCTGCACCTGATCCCCTTACGCTCGCTGCGCCCCTGAGGGCAGTTTCTAACCCACTCCCGCCCTCTGCTCCATTATTGTTTTTTTCACCATCTTTTTTTTTTTGGTACACATTGCAGTGCACAGAACTTACTGTACAATCGGTCGCACACTTTCAGCATGATATGGGACATTTTCATCTCTCCAGAAAGTTCTTGGGTGCCCATTCCTAGGCAGTCCACACCCTGCTCCAGGCAACCACTGATCTAATTTCTGTCATAGTAGATTAGTTTTGCCTATCCTGGAACTTCATTGAAGTGGACACAGAGCGTTTCATCTCTTGTGTCTGGGTGCTGTGGCTCAGCATGTCATTGCCATTCCCTGGTGTCACATGGCTCTCTAGCTCTTTCCTCTGTGTTGCTGAGTAGTGTCCATTGTGTGAACATATAATTTGTCCATTCTTGTGTTGATTACTTTCAGCATTTGGGGTGTTTCAGGTGTTTCAGGTTGGGGCTATTTTGAACTGAGGCTGCTGTGATCATTCGTGTTCAAGTCTGTGTGAACGTGTTTGTCTTGGGTAGTACCGAGGAGGGGAACGGCCAGGTCGCGTGTCGAGCTATCTTAGAGAGCGCCTATACCGTCACGCACCACCACAACTCAGCCATTCGAGTAGGTGATTTAATTTGCATTTTTCTGACAACCTATAATCTTGAACGCTTCTTCACATATTTACTGGCCTTTTGTTTTTCTTCCCTGCGAAGCATCTGTCGAAGCCTTCTACCCGTTTTTAATTGGGTAGTTTTCTTATTGTAGGAGTTGCTTATATATTCTGGATACAAATGAGTTTGGTGAATATTTTCTCCCAGTCTGTGGCTTGTCTATTCATTTTGTTAATAGTGTCTTTTGATGAGCAGTTTTTAATTTTGATAAAATCTTAATTTATTAATTTTATGGTTATTGCTTTCTGTGTCCTAAGAAAATATTTGCCTGTTCCTGCCTATTGATTTTTCTTAATCTAGCAACCTTGCTAAACTCTAATTAATTCTAATAATTTATCTGTAGGTTGATTTGAGGTGGTTTTTTAATAGACAAATTGTCATCTACAAATAATGACGGGTTTTTTTTTCTTCCTTTCCAAACCTTACGCCATTTTCATTTTCTTGTCTAACTACACTGGCTAGGGGCTCTTGTTCTGCATTGACTAAAGACCGAATAGCAGATATTCTTTCCATGGGGAATTATTCCAGCATTTCCCATTGAGTATGGTGGTCGTAAGGTATTTTATAGATGCCCTTTATCAAGTTAAGGAAGTTCCCTTTTATTACTCTTTGATAAGAGGTTTTTTTTTT